CCACAGTTCAAAAAGGATGTGGAGAAGCTTGAGAGAGTCCAGAGAAGAGCCACACGCATGATCAGAGGTCAGGAAAACAGACCTTACGATGACAGACTGAGAGCCATGGGGCTATCTGGCCTGGAAAAGCACAGGCTCAGGGGTGATCTGATGGCCACCTACAAGTTTATCAGGGGTGACCACCAGAATCTGGGGGAACGCTTATTCACCAGAGCGCCCCAAGGGATGACAAGGTCGAATGGTTATAAACTACTCCAAGACCATGTCAGGCTGGACATAAGGAAGAATTTCTTTAGTGTCCGAGCCCCCACGGTCTGGAACAGCCTGCCATCGGAGGTGGTTCAAGCACCTACATTGAACAACTTCAAGAGTAAACCGGATGCCTGTCTTGCTGGGATCCTATGACCCCAGCTGACTTCCTGCCCTTCAGGCGGGGGGGCAGGACTCAATGATCTTCCGAAGTCCCTTCCAGCCCTAATGCCTATGAAATCTATGAAATCATAAGATGAAGCTTCTTCCCAAAGTTGATGTCACCCTCCCGGAAGTCAGCTAACCTATTACTACATGCTTACCATCATCTTCTTTATCACTTCTCCAGAATAAAGCTGGAAGGAACTAGGATGCAATTCATCCAGTGCACACATGCCTTGTGCTATCTGCTTTCCTTACCGCCCCCTGAGAGTTCACACAGTGACATTCTGCCTGTACCCACAACAAAAGGGTACTTTCATCCAGCTGAGGATAAGCAGTTGTAAAAAAGTATAGAAAATCCACATTAAACAAATTAAATGATGAATATACTTTGCTGTTTTCATTAACCTCAGGAGGCTCTGTAGCTACAGCATGGGCCTGTCAGCCAGCCCCATCTCACACCATGACAGGGAAGGTAGGAGAGGGAGAGACAAGGGAATGAAATGAGTTGCTGTGGTGCTGGAGAGCTCTTGAACAGCCATCTCCCAAGGGCCCTGTCACAAGGGCCATGTGATGGCTATGAGAAAAGGCAGGTAAAAGGATAACAATCCTCTTACCTGTCTCTCTCTCATAGCCATCACATGCCCCCTTCAATCCAGTGTACCAATCACCTGAATCTGTACTTATGGGGCAGGAGTTGGCTAGCCCTTCACTGCATTCAGTGCTGTCAAAGATGATAGCTTGAGAGTAGGGACTGAGAGGGAGTCCCAGCCTAGGGTGTGGCAAGATGAATGCCAGTCCTCCACATCTAGATAGGCTCCCTCTATGCTTTGCATCTGCAACACAGGGTAGATATACTATTGCTACTTCCCAGGAGGTCTCTACATAGGAATTAAAGATTCAGGGGTTAAAAGAGTCAACCCACGCTACTGCTATCAATGGGAGGTACAGACTTTGTGCAGGGGTCATAGTAGGGGAGTTCTCTAGCTTGACAACACATGGGCAAATCTAGGAAACATCCCACCTCCCTAGATCCAGGCAGCCTTCAACTCAATAGTCAGCCAAGAGAAAGCAAAGGATGATCATGACTATTTTACCATTCCCTTCAAATTAAACTACAGTAACAGGTTGTCAAGGCTGCTGGACCCACAGAAAGGAGTAGATCTAGTCTTCTGACTCACTCAGCCAGCCAACCAGCCAATGTAGGTCTCGTTAGGTGTACTTCAGAACTATAAATAGCAGAGTCTCCGTAAAACAAAGGAAAAAGCCAGGCAGTCCTGAAGGGATGCACCTACTTAGAATAACCACTTCAAGAAGGACAGATAATTCAGCAGTTTGAACACCCAGTTAGGACTTAGAAGATATGGGTTCAAATCCCTGCTCTATCACTGACACCCTGGGTGACGTTGAACGAGTTGTTCAGTCTTTCTGGCCAGCAGTTCCTCCTTTGCACACTAGGTGTAATAGCATTGCCTTGCTGCACAGGGGTAATGGGAGAGTAAATCCATTAAAAACACTAAGACACTAGTGAGACCCAACACATATGAGATTAGGGGCTAAGGTACAAATACAGTCCTGCCTTAAAGACTCAAGGTAATACCCATGAGAGCAGGTTTTAGGATGACACGTTAAGATGAAGTGAGATTCCAGATGCCTGGAACTTGCATATACTATGCTGCTAAGTAAAGCCTTTTAACCCTTAGGGTAATGACCAACAATTGGCAGTTCAGGAAGAAGCAGGACACGCTGGTTACAGACAAGTCAGTGAAGCCATAAATCTGGATGAGAACTCTTGAAACAGGGGGGATTGTGACTATCCACTCCACAACCAAGTGTGCTGGAAATCTTGGTCAAGACCTACGAAGGGAGGCAAAGCAGAGCTGCTGCAGGGAAGAGAGACAGGAAAAGAATGCAGTGAGTTTTGCCTCCAGTGCTCCCAAGGCAGCTGCATCCTCTCATCACGCTTGGTTTTATAGCCTAGTGACCACTTCATGCCTGGACCACCCTGGGCTCAGTACCCTCACAGAACTCCCAAGCTGCTGGAGCCCACCTGAAGTAGAAATGGTAACACAGAGTGCAGCAATACATGTCAGAGTCATCAACTCTAAGGCAGAAACGCTACTCACCCTTGGATGTCAGTGTCCACAAGGAGTCGAACCAGGATCCCTGTCACCGCCACAAGGATTGGATAGTGATCCACACTCTCTAACCCTGCATGATAGAAGAGAAAGAGGGGACCCTTACCACCACTGTGCAACCAAAGGTTGCTGCCCAGAGCTATACCAGCCATTTCCTGGAATTTTTTATACTCTGCTTAGAAGAGACACTGAGATGCAAGTCCACTCTAGCCAGGACCTATGGCTCATATTAGAGCTCATGGTTCATTCAGGAAATGGATCAAGCAACATTTTTTTGGCATAACCCCAAACACCGGTCTCTCCCCTTGATCTAGAAGCCAGCACTACCTTGCCTACTTCAAAACCTTATGAGCAAGGGACTGGTTTAATTCCCCTCCCTAACGGTAAAAAAATTCTGGTGGGTATACAAGCAACATGGGACTGCCCAAAATATGGCCATCATGGTCCTGCACTTAATTCTTGAGTGGCCAGAGCTTCCTTCTTGTCATGTCTCAGTCAGAGAGGAGTGCCAAACAAAGGAGCTAGAGGGCTGAATGGAGAAAGGGAGGCTTCCAGGGTTACATGAGGCCCATTAGTGCCTCAGACAAACTTTATGCTGGAACTGTGAAGTACCCATTTCCAGAAAAACTGCACACTGCTGAGACATCATTTCACAAGGAGGAGAAAGACAGATTCACTCAGCATTGCTACTCACTCAGGGGCTGCCGTTCCAACACCTACCCGCCAAACAGCTACTGTGCATAGTGCACTGTTTAGCATGCTGGCCGCATTGCAACAGGACTTTGATAATACAGTATTGGGGGAAGGTGAGTGAGGGCACTTTTCTGCAGGGACAGGGGCTAGCAGGTTGCTGTTCTCTGCCATCTCCTGGCAGAGCTGCTCAGGAAAGCAGAGCTAGGCAAGGTGTCTTTCAAACAGCACCAAGCTGTTCTACTGAAGGTTGGTGCCAATCCATTGAACAGGATACTACCTCTTCTAGCAGGTAATAGTGCACCAGGCAGTGGTACTGTTCTCATAAGGGAAAACTACTTCATTCAGAATGGTAATAAGATGTGGTAGGTGTTTAATGGTGCGTGAAGGCTGGTGCTAGAAGTTCCCACAGGCAAAAGAAACCACAGAGGCAATTAAGGAGAGAAACACAGGCTAAAGACCCTGGCCAAAAGAAGAGTTCAGGGAACTGGAATTGTTAAAATGCTCCGTCTGAGCATTTCCATGCCCTATTGAAGATGGCACTTCCAGCAGGACAGCTGGTCAAGGCCTAGGTTGGAAGGAAGAACGACATCCTGCTCTATCACGTGTATCCTTGCCTGCAGCATCAAAGAAAGTCTCCCACCCACTGGCATAGCTTAGCTTGCCAGATCACATCCCCCTGAAACCTCCAGCAGCCCTGCTGATCTAGAATCCAAACCTCTGGAAGAGACTGCAAAGAGAGCTCCTAAATCCTCCAAATCCCCAAAACATTCCCTCCCACTTCCATCCCCAGCAAACTCCCGCAGGAGATGCAGGCAGGTCTCACCTGGCAGCCGGAGATTGACCACTCTGTCAAACAGGTTCCGCTCAGCTGTCACGCGATTCAGTACCTGATTTAACAGCTGTGTAGGGAGAAATGCAGACTATAAGGAATGGACAGGCCTTCTCCATCAGCAGAACAAGATGCCAGCCATACATTTAAATAGCTTCTGTCCATCAACAGCCAGGCAAAGGCATACAAGAACTACTTTATACTGCATTAATCAGGCACTTTCTGCTCACAGCCAGCCCACATGCAAAACCAGCACTCATTCCCAAGCGGGGTCTTTTCTTGAAGCAATATCTTCCTCACTAAATCATTCTGGAGGCTGGAATAAGATGTTTCTCACTGACCCTACACCATGGACTGCTAAGGACCTGAACCACAAATCAAACTACAGCCCCATATCCGTCTAACAAAACAGCCTGTGAGATACTGGGACCTGCATTTGTAACACTCCATCTGGAGTCGGTGGGAACAGCTGCGCTTTATATTGCAACCCAAATTCTCTTCAGATTTGATAAAAGTAGGAGGAAGGCAGTGTCAGACTGCACCACAATGTTCTTCTGTGATTTGCATGTGTACTGAACTCCTGTCCAGAGTGCTGCTTTCACAGGAGATGGGAGCTCAGCTCCACTGCAGCCACAAGCCCTGACAGTGCTAACAGGAACTCGGGCCTGCAGCAGAAAGAGGCAGGCTGCATTCCAGTTTGTGGCACTTATGGAGAAAGCTCTAAGGAGAGAGAGAAGCTACAGTACTGAGAACACATTGTGGAAGGAACTGCTAGTTGGAGACCCTCCATCAACCTCCAGGCACCAGAGTGAAGCCTATGAGAAGAGTCGGCAGCCACAAATGGTCCAGAACAGGGCTCTATTTGAACCCAAAGCCAACACCAGGACTGGGACTGCCAATCTTGGGGCACAGACTGAAGCAGAGTGAAGACACAATGCAGAACAGGTGCCCTGCAATAAGACACAGCACCAGAACTCCAACCATAACAGCAGCAAGTTTCTGCTTGTGAACACCGTGACAGCATTTAGCTAGCTACTGTTAGGATCTGAGCAAGTCTACTAGATCACAAGGGCTGCTCCAAGATTGGTGTGATCATAACAGTCCTACCTCATTTCACTGAGTATTCACCCTGCTACCATGCAGGGTGGTCTTCTGTAAACTGAGAGCAAACTCCTGTTGAAGCTGCCTGGGGCAGAATCACAGCTGAGGGACAGACGTGAGTCTGACATGTGGTTGTCCTTGTTACTACAATCCCCAACATTATAAGTGAACCATGTGCATGCTCAAATTGGCTCTATTTAGCTGATTCCCTTCCCCTTGGCCATGCCACATGCTTGAACTCCCGTTGCTTTCCTTCTTCCCTGACTGTTTCTACCCCTCTATGGAACATCCCTCCTTGGCCCCATGGATTTTCCTCTTCTCAAGGCAGCTGCACTTTGCTTTGGGTACACTCGGGACCAGCAACATCTCTCTCCTGAGGCAGGGGTCAGCACATCTTTTCTCAGACTGCCAAAAAATAATTTCTGCAGAGAAGGTAAAGGAACAGATATGCTGCTAGTGGTAATCATCTCTGTTGTACTACAAACCTCCTATGGCCTGCATGTGCAAGAAATGGCAACACACTCCAGAGGCAAATGATCGTCAAACTCTACTGTAAGCTCAGCTAACAAGTTGGGCCCCAGGCTACCGTGGGATGGTGACAAACATTACAGACGTCACAGCCTTGCAATTTAGAAACTCATTACAGCACTCCTCATAAAGACCAAGTTCTTACAGTTTTGAGGCAAAAGGGGCTCCTAGCACCAAATCCAAGATTACATAAAATAGGTGAAAAAGCCTCACCCAGCAATTCCAGCCTCTAGTTAAACAGCTCATAATTCACTTAGCAGAGAGCTCCCAAAAGGAAATGTGCAGTAGTGGTGTAAAGACTCCTAGTGATGGCAACCCATTCCTCCCTAAAGAATCTGTTCCACTAGTTACTGCCCCATGTTAAACATGGGGTTTATTTCCAGTTTGACCTTTGCCAACTTTAGGTCTCAGCCCCATGATCTTGCTGCCTCTGTATACTGGATTGAAGGGCTTTCTCTCTGAGCAATGTCTTGCTCACTCAGGTACTTTGTAGTTCATGAACAAGGCACTTCTTAACCTTCTTTTCAATAAGGTCAGTAGATGGCACCCCTTTGGGGTGGTCTCTGCAAAGGCTGGCACCAAAACACACAAAAGTCATGAATTAAAAATGATTACACAGTTGTGGTGCAGGGCTGTGCAGGATGCTTTTAAATTGAAATAAAAGTAATAAAAATAAAGTCAATGAGGCTAGCTTTGGCCCTGACAGGTGCAGAGAGCCAAAACAAGTGCATCTTATGTAGATGAGGGCAGAACTGGACTAGCAGACAGCTGCAGCTCAGGACTGCAGGACATTAGAAAAGTTACAACAGATAGCCAGGGATGGGAAAGTGCAAGTAAGCATGCCCTCTTTCCACCCCCCCTAACATTCATTCTAAATACAATGTGGGGCCAGCCGCACCTTTCGCTGGTTTCCCCCTTGATTTCACAGCAGACAGACTTGCACACCTGAAATCTTAGGATTCTACTCTGAGATCCATTACGATAACATCTGCCATATGAAAGTAACTGACAATATGGAGGTTCTTATGAAGATTTTTGGCATGCACCCCCTCTCAGTCTCTGGGTGTAGAGAGCTTTATGTGGGCTGGGTTTCTCTGGGATATTACTTTAAGGGTGCACACAGGAAGCGTGGCAGCATTTCCCAGAGCCAAACAAGCCCATACATGGCTGACTGTCATGATATGCTGAACCAAGCATGGGCACTGATGTCAGATCTCCCTGGTTTGTAGTACTAAATGACCAGGCCCAGACAACCCATAGATCCAGTTAAAGGCTATATTCTTTGCAATCTACATGCAAGCCCCATGCCACAATCTACAGCCCTAGCAGAAAGCACTCACACACTCTGTTGGCAGGTGCACTCCCTGTACCAGGGACATACCTGTGCAAGCCTCCTGAGTAGCAGCTCTGATGAGGGACGGCTCCAATCAAGGAAAATCTCAGAGGCCAATGTGACAGTCATTTCCAATACCCTGAGTAAGCTCACAGAAAGGTCAAAGCATGTTGCGCACACCTTCAGCTGGCGGCTGTCCACAAAGTTCCTCTCCAGGCGTTCTGCTGCCTGTTGGATCTACCACGTAATGGAATGCAACTTAGTAGGGGGGCACCCAACCCGCCCAATCCTGCAACATTCCCCTGGCTCCTGGCATCCCTGCTCCCTTAGAAGCCAGGTAGCCAATGTATTCCCAGAGGGCTAGGCTCTGGACAGCAGAGTGTATACCACTATTCCACCAAACAAATGTCATTGTTTCACAAGCAAGCTGTACTTCCTAATCATTAAGTTTGTCAAGGTACAGTGCAGGGGTTGGCAAAAAATAGAACGCCAGCCCACCAAATGAATTTACCCAGCCCACAGCTGCTCCTCTAAAGGTGAACTGTATCTGGCCTGTGGCTACCTTGGCTTTCAGTGCCTCTTCCCCTTCTCCCTTCCCCATGTCAGCCAGTTGCAGCAGGCACTCGCCTCACCTCCCCTCCCCTCCCCTCCCCAGCCAGC